TTTTTTTTTTTTTTTTGGTGCTGGGGCTAGAATCCAGGGTCTTGTGCATGCAAAGAGAGCACTCTACCAACTGAGCTGGTGGAATGTGTCTTTGGACATCATTATCCAAAGTACATGTATGAAGACATGAATTGGTGTGAACATACTTTATATATAAACAGAGATATGAAAAATTGTGTTCTATATGTGTAATTAGAATTGTGATGCATTCCACTATCATGTATTTTAAAAATAAAAGAAATTTTAAAAATAAAAAAAGAAACATTTTGAGAAATGAGAAATATATAAATAGTAATTGAATTTGTGTTGTAAGATAATTGGTATTTCCTTTATTTTGCTTAATTTCAAACCAACAATACAGCCTGACTTTTGAATTGAAATTTTCTCCCCTAGATAAGGAACAAATTAAAGACAGACTTTAGATCCTTTTCAAAAACCTCCTCAAGGCTGAGAACCTGTCTCAGTAGTAAAGCATTGGCCTAGCATGCACCTGGCATGGGTTTCATCCCATGTGAAGAAATGGTTTCAGGCCGAGGAGATGATTCTTCAAGAGTCCACATCTCAGAGGTGCTCAGTAAATGGACTGCAGAAGCATCCACACTATTGAGAAAGTTCTAGTTACTCTTTAAAAATAATAAAGATTAATCCACCTCATTTTTAGATATTCTGTCATCACATCTGTCTTCTTCTGTTGGAAAACAGCTCATCTCTTTGGGTGTAACTTGCACTGAAGTAAAATTTATAAGGTACTCCTCCACAGCCTGCAACGTGGAAACAAAGTACAGCAGAAATGTGTGATGGCATTTGTTACTCTGAAGAATTTTTAAACAAACAGTATTTGATCCAAATACTATAGAATTTAAATTATAGACCACAGGTTGATTTAATGCAGGGGGAAGATTTGAAAAGATTTTACCATGTTTGGAAAGGAATTGAAATGGGCTCATGTTTTCTCCTTCAATTTTCAAGCAACACTAAATAAGTGTTTTGAAATGAACCACATTCACCTTGCTACTCATTTAGCTTATTTTGTTTGAAAACATTTAGGTAGTGAAAAGCTGTTAATGACATCCTGATAACCCTGGAGCTATGAGTAAAGAGATTGCTGCTTTGTGCTAAATGCACATTTCACCCTTTTACTTCTTCTAAATACCTCTATTGCTAATGACTTTCTTCCTCCTGAAATTCATATTTCTCATGCAATCTGCAAATGTAAGAGAGTCATAGAGGGACAATCTCTATTAAAATTAGCTGTCTTCTCCAATCCACAAATGAAGAGAATTTCATTCAGGGGAAAACTTACTTCTGTTAAAGGAAATTGAACTGGAAGGCTTTATTGCCTGATGGGGTATTGTCTTAAAGGTGATCTAAAGGACAGATTATTCAACAAACTCTGTGCTTATAGTGTGTCTTTTTCCTTCTTGTTCTTGCCCTGAAATTGACAGGTTTTATAGATTTTTTTTTTTTTTGGTGTGTGTGCATGAGTGGGGGAGGCTGAAAAAGGCTAAATGCAAATCTTACCTAAAATTTCATGTGTAGATATATATTATGTAATAAATATAAAATTGATATAGATATATATTATGGTTCTAATCAGTCCAAAACTAGGCCAAATATTCTTAAGTTTGCTATCTTTATTTCCACTGTGTTTCATTCCAGTATATTTACCAGATACAATATTATGGTTTTTGAAAAAGGCTTTTAGCACATGGTCCAGAAATTGAGGTCAGGGGTGTGTCTGCTTCAAAAAGGCTCTTTGCAGGCATCCATAAGAAGTGCCTCACCCAGGTGGGGCTTTGCTGTGCACTAAAGTTTTCAGCCTCACTGTTGGCACCAGTTAGAAAGCAGGACATGTGTTTTTTCATGTTTCTGTGTCCATGATCCTAAATGAGGTTATTTGATCATCCTTTCATATATGAGATTTAAAATTAAGCAAGAAGTTTTCAGATACCCTTTCAGTTTACTCCTATGACCAAACCAAGCTTCTACATGGGGAATATTTTTCAGTTGTCTGTTCTGGGCTCTAGTTTAAATAAAGTGTTTCTCCTGTGAGCTGTAGGACACTGGTGATTTCTGATAGATCATATACAGACCAAATAATCCTAACATGTAGTTTGCTTTACTACATACTATGTACCTCATATGTGTATTTCAGTCAGCTTTTTTTCCTTTCTGTGAACAAAAGATCTAACAAGTAAAGCCAGAAATTAGACAGGCTATAGGTATAGATAGGTAAATCCACTCAGGTCAGATCAAGGAGGCCAATTTGAGTGAGTCTGGGAAGTTGGAGTCTGCCCACTGAGGGATTGAAATGCCTTCAGCGCCCTTCCACCACCCTTATCAAGAAAACTTGCCCCTGTCTAACTTGTTGCCAAGGTAACCTGCCCAGGAACTGCCCCTCCCTACAGGGAGTTATAAAAGCCCACCTTCAGCCCACCTGTTTCCCACCTTTTGGACATCCCACCAAGCATTTCCTGGGCCTAGTCACAGGAAGGAGAAAGATAAGGGGAAGAGGACAGGAGAACAAAGGAAATCTAAAGACATATAAAAAGGTGGCACACCTCTCTTCATAGGATACAAGGATACCAGCTATGGCCCCCTTCTCCTTCCTGGGAGAAGTCTATGTTACTACCCCATTTTAAATAAACCCTGCTTTATATGCTTGCCCTGGCGTGCTTCTCTAATGTTGTACTTCAGCATTTAAGGGAGAAGAACTGGTCACTGGTAACCAGCTGTATCACAAAAAAAAAAAAAAAAAGAAAAGAAAAGAAAAACAAATGTAGAGGAGAAAAAGTTTTATTTTGGCTCATTGTTTCAGAGGTTCATTCTCTGTATACGGCATCCATAGCTCTGGGACCAAGGTGAGGCAGAACATTGTGATGGAAGGAGATGGAGAAGGAAAACAGCTAAGGACAGGACAACAAGGTGGCCAAGAGAGAGAGCAAGCCACTGTTAGACCAGGACGCAAGAAAAGACCACTGACTCCAATTAAAATCAAATTAAAGCAAGCTTATTATTTCGACCTGCCGGACTGCCTTTTCCTCCCAAAACGGCAGGAACAAGACAGCAGCCCCAGCTTTCCTACAGCCCAGCTTTATAGCCCAGAAAGTTACACAAAAGGGGGGTTACAGATAACAGAACTCTGACAAGCATCACACTAATGGTAGTTTACATTTTTTGCTGGCCCCAACATCAGAATTTATGAAGCCCATTAGAGCCTCAGAGAGGGTCGTTGTCTGGCCAGGGAAGGCCAATATTTATGAGGTGTCACTAAAGTTTCAGAGAGGGCTGCTATCTGGTCAGAGAGCCAGGCATGGGTGAGTTCAAGGCACGGGCAGGCATTCCAAGCAGGTTCAGAATTTGCAGAAATTTATAGTAAAGCTGAAATTAGCTTTTCATGGCTTTGTGGTGAGAGGGCTCCCAATTTAATAAAAAATCAGGTTGGGTTTATCACCACTAACCAGGGACAAAATACAAACCCAAAGTCTTGCACCCAGTAATGTACTTCCTTCTGTCACACCCTACCTGCCTACATGTACCACCCAGTCAATTCATCTCTGGATTCATCCACTGATTAGGTTATGCCTCCCCCTCTCATGATCTCATCATTTTCCTTCCCAAAATTCTTGCATAATCTCACACATAAGCTTTTGGGGACAACTTCTATGGAAACCATAGCAACGCGCACGCGCACACACCCCCCCCACACACAATTTGTAATACATACATAATTTAATGTATATACTGTACATTCAGAATTTGCAAATATATTTCACAAATTTGAATTGATTATTCCTCAGAAATCCTATTATCATTTTTATGATCATTAATCCTCTAGTATTCATAATCAGTAAGTACCACACTGGTTAGATTATCTCACCTGTGATACATTTAATGAGTGCAGATGAACTGTGTTAAAATATTTTCACCTCATGTGGGCGTTTTTCTTCATTTTTTTTTTAATTTACTTTACATTCTTCTTGGCACTAATGTGAATTTTACATTTTTATGACCATTGTGAATTGAGTGGTCAATTTTTATCTTTATAAGGATGAACCTCTTGGTTGTGTCAAAATTATTAAGTGAAATTACATATTTTAAGTTTTGTGTAAAACTTGATTGGTGTTCACTATGTTTGTTTAAAAAGCGAATCTAAATAGGAAAGCTCTGAGCCATTATTTCACAAATTAACAGAAAAGGACTTCAGAGTTAGGATCATAAGAATTAAGGTCCCATACAATCCAACATTTCATTTATTCAACAAATATTAATTGCGTACCTGATGTGTGCCTGTGTGCCTAAACTGTTCTGTGGTTTAGAATGAGTACAATAAATACATATATTCCAGTGGTGATTGAAAATAAATGCTGGGATAAAAATAAAAAGGCATAAAAGTTAATAGTGATTGTGATTACAAATACATGTAACTTTAAATAGAATTGTCAGAGTAGCCCCTAATAAAAAGATGACATTTGGGGCTGGAGTTGTGGCTCAGCAGTAGAGTGCTTGCCTAGCACATATGAGGCCCTGGGTTCTATCCACAGCATCACATAAAAATAAATAAAATAAAGGTACTGTGTTCAACTACTTCTAAAAAATAAATTTTAAAAAAAAGATGCCATTCGAGGAAAATCAAATAAAAAGCAGATTAAAGATTTGGCCATGTAGCAATCTGGAGAACATCCCAGGCTGAGGAAACAGATAAAATGCAGGAAGTAGGTAGGAGCATTTCTGCTAAGTTTGTGAAAGATCAAGGAGGACAACCCAGCTGGAGAACATTATGCAGAGGGAGAAGAATAGAAGATATGATCAGAAGGTAGCACAATAGGTAACATGTCATGTGGGACTTGTGGGCTATTACAAGAATTTAGGAAGATGTGGAGACTACTATGGCTTATTTGTGAGGTTTCCCCAAAAAATTTACGTAAGAAATAATGCAAGGAAGTTTACAGGTGAAAGGATTGGCTTATGAGAGCCTTAGCCAATCAGTGCATTGACCCAATTGAATAGATTAATTGGGTGGTAAATGTAGGCAGATAGGATGGCTTGGAGATGATAGGTCACTGGGGGATGTCTTCCGGGTATGTGTTTTGTCCCTGGTGAACCCAATCTCTCTCTCTCTCCCTCCCTCCCTCCCCTTCTTTCTCCTTCTTACTCTCTCTCTCCCCATCCCCCTCTCTTGTCCCTCCCTCCCTCCCGCCCCTTGCTTATTGCCTTGTCTGAGCTTATTTCCTCTACCACACCCTTCTACCATAATGTTCTGCCTCACTGGGCCCAGAGCAATGGAGTTGGCTGCCCAGAGCAACAGGCATTGGCTATCAAGATTGAGAGTTGTGGGCTGGGGTTGTAGTTCAGTGGTAGAGCACTTGCCTCACAAGTGTGAGGCACTGGGGCACTGGGTTTAATCCTTAGCATCTGATAAAAAATAAATAAGTATTATGTCCACCTACAACTAATTTTTTTAAATAAAAATAAATAAATAAAAGAGATTTAGAGCTCTGAAACTATGAGTGCTAAATAAAGTTTTTCTCCTCTAAAATTATTCTCGTCAGGTCTTTTGGTCAGAGTGGGGAGAGGCAGGGAAGAAACTAAAACAGGGACCATCACCGAGTTTTAGAGTTTTAAACAAAAAGAGAAACATGACCAGTTTTAAGAGTCACCCTAGCTGTTGTGTTGAGAATTTTATGGATGAGTGAGGAAGAAAGTGTAAAATCAGGAGGTCAGTAAGGAAACTCTCACAATAATTCAGAGAGAAATAATGGGAACTTGGAACCTAAACCATATATTATTCTCTAGAGAAACAGAATCAATAGGAAGTACATTTATAAAAATGCAATTTACTTGATTGGCTTACATGATCAGAAGCTGAATAGTCCATAATGGTTATCTGCAGGCTGGAGAGCTGAAAGAACCAGTAACTGCACAGTCCAAGAAGCTGAAGGCTCAGACTTAGAGGGATCAACAGAGCTACCTCAGTCTGAGACCAAAGGTTTCTGGAAACTCCTTGGAGAAGCATCTACAGAGTCTTCTTTGGAAGAGTGAAGGAGCCAGAGTCAGAGATCCTCAGGTGATCTCAATACCAATGAAGAACCTGTTCAAAGACAATCAGTTTAAATCTGCTGCTGCTTCCTGGTTCTTCCTATTTTTATTCCACCAAGCTGCCATCCTATTGGACAGTGCTACTCATGCTTAGGGAGGGTCTCCACTTCAGTTTGCTATTCCACATGCCAATCATTCCTAGACACACCTTCACTGACAGGCCCAGAAGCCTCTTAATCTTAGGCATCTCTTAATACAATCAAGTCAATTTGCTAGTTGATTGTCAATTTGACAAGTCAGATTAACCCTTATTGGCCAAGATGTAGTAAAATAATGGTGAAAAGTAGTCACTCTGAATACATTCCATCACTCCTTCTAGATTAGGTACCGGGAGGAAAAGGGAGAAGAAGTTAAGAAACCCTCCAAGATTTTCAGCCTAATGGAGTAGAAGAATGAAGTTTGTAGCAGTTCAGTTGGAAAAGATCTTAGGAGTGCCATATTTACCAAATAAAAATAGAGAATACCCTGATAAGTTTGAATTTTAGAAGATATTTAAATCACACATGTACTTACTTTTCTGGAATCAAATTTAACTGTATGTTTATATATATGTTATCTGGCAACCCTAAGTGAGGAGAGGATTATGAGGTTGGCTTTATATGAGATGAGTTTAAGATGCCTATTAGGTTTCTCAATATAGATGTTAGTTGGCAGTTTGATAAGAGTTTCAAGTTTGTTAGAGAAGCCTGAAGATTTGAGTTTGATACATTTATACACAAAAGACTTGATGAAATCAGCAAAGAAGTAATAATAGAAAAATAATGGAGGAAAGCAAAGAACTGAGCCCCAGAACACCAACATTAGAATGTTCAAAAAAGAAAAAAAAAGAAAGGGGAAGGAGTTAGAAAATGATACTGATAAGAAACAAAAACAAATTAAGAACCCGTTCAGGAAGAAAGCCAAGTGGACAACAGAATCGAGAAGCCATCAGCTATTGGTCAGGTAAGATGAGGACTAGCTGCCAAACATCAGATTTCTCCAAAGGAAGATTACTGAAGACATCAGAAAGCATTATTTTGGTTAAAAATGAGAACAAAAGTCCTACTGGAGTAGACTTATAAGAAAATGGAAGGAATTGAATTGGAGATACCAAATCCAGCAACTCTTCTGAGGTACTATAGTAGGAAAGAAAAAAGAAAGAAGGAAATGGGGAATGAGATGATCCCTAGCTATTAAGTGAAACAGGATCACAAATGGATTATCTATTCATTCATACCATTCATTTCTACATTTTAAATAAGGAAATTTTCAATGTGTCTGTCTTCTGGTGGACATGACCTAGAAGGGAAAAGGTAAAGTTTCCAGAGTTATGTTTCTGAGTCGATGAGAGAGGATAGAATATGGTGTGTGATACAGACATCTGACTTTATGTAAGATCATGAGCCATCCCTCACCCTAATGATGGGTATCCAGGGTGACACTGTGCAGATATTGATGATAGAAAGGATGGTGGGAGATGGTATAAAGTTTCCTAAGATGTTTCATTTTATTTTGAGAATTAGGAAGTAAGTTATCAACCACAAATGAAGAAGGGAAAGAAGGCATTGTGAGTTTAAGAGAAGGTATGAATATAGGAGAATGGGTTTAGGGAAGTGTAATGTGATTGTCTGACAGAAGTAATGGTTCACTTGAGATACCAGAGAACGAGTGTAAAATAAGCCCAAGAGCAGAATCAGATCCATGAGTGAAATAATAAGAATTTTATTACAACTATTGTTGTGGCTTTGATAGGGAAATCACAAAAGATAAAGGGAAAGCATTGAGGGTATGTGCAAGGGAAAGAGCATAATGCTTATCCATAGGAATTTAGATGGGTAAGAAGATCAGAGTCAGGAGTTAGGGTGGTTGATTGAATACATAAGTGATAAAGAGTAGTTGAAGGATGGTTGGAGGTGAGATGAGGAATAAGTTAGTTAGGAAGACAGAATTTTGTCTTCAAAGAATAACAAAATATATCACATGAAATGTGTGAAATAGATTGACATTACAGTGATACTGGTTATTGATAATAACAAGATCAATCAGGGAAGATAGGAGTAGTTGTCTGAGGTAGAGTTAGGGTGATATTTCAAAATTTTTAAATTAAATTTGTATGTCTTAGAGCTTAAAGTAATTAGAGAGTTTTAGGAGTCCATATAGTTTTTATATTTTCTAAGCTGAAACACTGATACTGCCAGTTTTTAGTTGTGAGGTGATAGTTGACCTAAGTACTCAAAATGTGATATGAATGGACTTAGGAAGGAATCCTTTCTTGGCCTATATTTGATGTAAGTTCGAGCAAAGTCATGTAGTTATTCTATTTTGAAATTGAATTTTCTAATTAGTAGAATTAAAAGGGAAGGAAAAATCAGAAAGTAAGAACAGTCCTGCTTTTCAAGCAATTCTTCAATTAGCTGAATGTTGTAGATTGTTAAATGATTGTAAAAAAATTGATAATATCTCTAGGGCAATAAAATAAGTATTACTATTACTACTATTATCATTTAAATTATTACTTTTTAAAATTATTATTTTATTTTAAAATCATCAATTTTATTATTTCAAAGTTCTAATGAATCTTTCCCTTTAATGTTTTACCAAAAATAAATATGGTCTACATTTTCCATGAATGCCCATTTTATTGCCCAGGAATAAAAATTTTTGAAATATGTCATTCACTATATATCTTGACAATATTATTTACTTCTACGAACATAAGTAACTGTCTGTATGTCTATGGAGCCTAAATTAATATCTTCTTTCCAGATATTTTTTATAGCTACACGCATACACATCTTAATGATCAATTGAGCTTACTTTATTGTCTCACAGTCTTCTCAACAGTTACAAACCTGACTGTTGAATTTCTTCTACTAACCAAATATAAAATCTTGTAAAGCTTACTTACTACAATTCTAAAAACCTAAGTCCAAGGGCAAATGACTAAGATATCTCTTTATTCCTGCTTTTACATAAATCCACATTTAATATATGAAAGAGTCATATCTCTACTAATTTTTAGGGGGGAAAAGTCTAAATTAATCACTTTATTTTTTATTATCAATGCCAATTGTCCAAGTGAGAGTTGTCTTTTGACTGGCTGTTGGATTAGCTAAGTGAAGTCACTAACCTTTGTCCTTCTGTAATACATGGTTCATATAGAAACAAATCATTTTAAAATAAATCGAATCATATCATTTTCTCAGCAAAATACCTTCACGCTCCCCCCATTCAATTATACCAAACTTTAAAAAGAATGTATTGCTGTTATGGTTTGGATCAGAGCTATTTCCCAAAGCCCATGTGCTGAAGGCTCTGTCCCCAAGATAGCAGCGTTCAGAGGTGGAGCCTTTGGTGGTGATTGGATCATGAGGGCCCTGACCTCATCAATGGATAAATCCATTTATAAATTCATGATTTAATGGACTATGGGTAATGGTAAAAGTTTTGGAGATGGAGTCTAGTGGGAGAGAGTGGGTCATTTGGGGATATGCCCTTGAAGTCTATATTGTCCTCAGCCTCTTTCTGACTTGCTCTGTGGGGTGCACACACCCTGCTTCTCGGCAACATTGCTCTGCCACCTTCCACTCCCTTCTTGCCATGATGTTCTGCCTCCCCACCAGTCCAAAGTGATGGTGACTACTGACTATGGCTTTAAATCTCTAAAACTGTGAGACAAAGTAAATCTTTCTTCTGTTAAATTGTTAATTTCAAGCATTTTTCACAGTGAGAGAAAGTTGACTAATACAACTGCCCTCTAACGCCTTATATAATATGAACTTTGCTTACATCTTTATAACAGTATGATACCAATCACGTTATAAACCGAGACCAAACTGTCCCTTTCTCTGGTTTCTCAAATGTATCTAACTAATATTTCGGTTAGCAAAGGCTCTCTTTGCCTAACAATTCCTTCGATATTGTGTTACTTCCCAGTTTAAGTTAGCTCACCCTATTACACTCATGCTTAGCTTTCTGTACTAGTACTTCATCATAGTTGCAAATAAATGTTTATTTAAATAAATGTTTATTTCTGTGTTTACATTTATTTTTATCTTCTTAATGCACTTTTAGCACCCTGAAGAAAAGAACAATGTTATTTTACTTAACACTGTATTTTCAGCACCTAAAGAAATACTCAATACTGATTGAATTAAGAAATGAACATTTAGCAACCTCTACTTTTCAGTTCCAACATTTTAATAAGCTGAGGGAATAGGCATGGGCTGTTGGGACACTTCGCTCAAATCCTACCTCTCCTCCTTTAATTTAAGTATGCAATTAAGTTAGAGACATATTGAGCCTTTTTTTTTAATCACTAATTCCTTCAACTGGAATTTTGAAAAAAAAAATTGTATGTGCATACCCCACTGGTTATCACAGCTTCCTCTTCTGTCAGTTAGGTTTTATTTTAAAGGTGTTATCATGTTCAGACACTACTCTGAATTTTTGACAGAATTATGTTTTCCTTTTATGCTATTCTAGTGAACATAAAATTGTTAAAGAACACTATTCAAAAACAGTAATATATTTGTTTTATTTTCTTCTGAATTTGTATATGTAAAATTTATACAACATTCTTAATCATTTTATTAATAAGCAATTACTATAATATGATCTAAAAACTGTAGGAATAACAAATTAAAAATCAATATCCCTCCTTTTAATAAATTAAGAAGTTTATTGCATGGACTCATACATGTTTAACAATAAATACCTTGATAAAAATGGGAGAGGTACTTTATTTTTACATTAATAAATAAAGAATCTTCAAAGAACAATGGCACATATCTGTAATGCCAGCAAAATGGGAGGCTGAGGCAAGAGGATCTCAAGTT